CCAATAGGGTGTGGTGAGACCACCAGAATGAAATGATTTGGTTTTGTAAACTGAACATCTTCGGAAACACTTATTTGTGAAATGAGCCCAACAGCCTCTATGAAACCATTCACCCTACAATCTATGACCCTACATGATTGAAAACCACGTGACCGCATCAAAAATGGTCACATGGCACTCAATTATTGTTGAAGACCCGGTATATATTATATTGGTCAGTCATCCTGACAAGTTGTCTATCTAATATAATGTCTCGAAAGTCTCGAGGCGGAATTCGTAAATATTTAAAACAAAATAAGAATTATTTTGAAATGAAATTTCGGAAATATTTAACATTGACTTTTATGTTTTCATCTAGCTATGATTTATTTTATTTGTATTTATGTGTGAAGTTTGCATAGTCACACATTCTTTAGGGTTCATTTCGGGGCAGTTCTAGTTTGATCCGCCCTATAATCAACAAGCATTTTTGTATGCTATACAGACTGTCATATACTGCCATTTAAGATGAAAAAACTGTTGTTTTAAACATCAACTGAAGCATACTAGATTTTTTTATAAATCCGTAGATACTTGGCTAGATTTTTTTCCAAATATTGCCCTATCCTACTACCATAGTGGAAGGAGAAGATGGTGTGCCTACGCGCATATTATGTGACGTCATCTGAGATACCAATATCAGCTGCTAGTCACAGACAGATACTGTTGCCATGGGCATGCGCAATGAATTCAATCATGTTCATTGAAATTTCTATAAGTTTCTCGATCTGTTTAGAAATAATTCAATTTATATAAACAGGTTCCTATTCCTTTGATTTTACTATTTCATTGATTCTGGAAATTGTGATCTTGAGGTAATTCGCAATCGCAAATAGCAAATTGCCAATTCCATCTGAATGATCCAGTACTGTGTCGATTCTGACAGATCAAAATTCAGCAGTTGACGACGTTGACGTTGCTTCTGCTCCGACATCGACAACAGGAGTATCAATTTTTGCCGTTTTGTTATTCAAATCTTTGCTGCATTTTATATTTTGTGAGAAATTAGGAGTTCTGAATTCATTTTCAATTATTTCTGACTTGATATTCGGAAGATGTTCTGTAGGAATGGCATCTTGTTTCAAATATTTGTGATTTTTTGAAGGTGCGTAATTCAAGAACCGTACTTTCGCACTTGTTTGGAAACATTTTGCATGGAAATGTTTTGAAGAAATATGAATGTGATGATATTATGATAGGTGTTTACTTTGGAATGGGGATACAAGGAATCAAAGATATGTACCATAATTTGAGTTTATATTCTGTCGGCAGCAAGCTCCCATCGTTTCATTGGGTCTCCCTCCATTCTTGGAAAAGCAGAAAAATTCAATATCTGTGCCTTTTGTATGTTAGTTGGAATTTCCATAACCAGAAACGAAACAAGTGGGCATTTCGAAATTATTTCATTCAATTTTAGTACTTATATAATATCTGAAGTTCCAGACATCAATTACGAAAACAAATAATAACAATAATGACAGTTATATCCCAGCTGACGTCATGCGCAGAACTAGACGAGTTTGAGCTCTCTGTTGAGCACACCATCTTCTCCTTCCACTATGCCTACTGCTAATTTTATTTGAACAGCGACTACTATTGAATTTTATCGTCAGACTATTTTTTTATAAAACGGGGCAATCCCCTCCAAAAGTTTCCTTATCCGATTCTGATAAAGGGTGATTCAATTTGAATTTCATATGTTGGCATAACTGTGAATCAAACAGATATTAGTGAATGAGTAATTTCAAAGTTGAACATTGGAAATTTATCAATCATTTTCATATTTTGTAAGAGTCCTCCTACTTTGGACTCTGGCTCTTTCGCCAAAATATGAAAATATTCTCTTGCAATTTTTAGATAACACGCTTTCTTGCAAAAAATTATTTGTAGTTTTTATGCACTTGTGCAATTATAACCGAAAATTCCTTGACTATTTTATCAAACTTCATCAAAAACTCAAATTACCTATACAAAATTCAAAGTATCAAAATTGCAGTTAATTTAATGTGATAGCAATGGTAGTATTCAAAATCTGAACAAATCAACTTGTATGTTCGTCAGCCACGTTTCTCAATGACTTCCGATTGTATCGGGTATGGGTCCGGTTTTGAATTCTTAAATGGAATGAGACAATTCTGCATCAGATTATGACATTTTCAAACCTTTATGCCAACTTTTTATAGTCACTTTTAATTTTGCATATAATCAAGGAACTTTCACTGTCTGTCTGTCTGTCTCATGAGATTTGCGTAGTGGTCGACGGAGTTTCATCTGACTCTTTTATAATAAATGCTGGTGTTCCGCAAGGATCAATTCTAGCACCAATACTTCTTCTACTCTATATCAACGATTTGTTGGAAGCAACTTCATGTCCAGTACACAGCCAGGCAAATCAGAAACGAACGAGAGAGAAATGTTGACAATATAAATATGGACTCGGCAACAATTATCGAATGGGGATCCAATAACTTGGTAGATTTCAATGCAAACAAAACACAAGCATGCCTCTTCTCTAGAAAAACTGATCTCACTGTGCCCAACATAAGCTTGTCAGGAGTAACCATACCTTTGAAGACATCCATTTCGATGCTTGGGATCACTATCAGCAATATCCTTTCTTGGGAAAATCACGTGAGATCAATTGCTAAAAGTGCATTTCAAAAACGTGGTTTTCTGTTTCGGGCCAGGAGCTATTTCACTTCCAGTCAGCTGCTTATGATCTATAAGGCACAGATCCGACCTGTCCTGGAATACTGTTCCCATATCTGGAGTGCAGCACCCAAACATACCCTGAAACTGATGGATTCTGTCTAAAAAAGGGCAATTCGTCTGGTGGGCGATGCCTCGCTCACAAACTCACTCACTTCTCTGGAACACCTAGAAAAGTTGGCGATCTTTCTCCATTTTATCGATAGTTTCATGGACGATGCTCTTCTGAAATATCAACAATTTTTCCTCCCTTGGCAGTCCCCGCGAGATTAACCCGTCGAGTTGAGGCTTCGTACCCCTTCGTGGTCACTTTGGAGACCTGCAGAACATCTCTTTCCAAATACTCGTTCATCCAACGAACGGCGAAGCTCTGGAATACATTGCCAAGGGAGGTGTTCCCCGAGGTATAGTCTGTCCAAGATAAGGTTGCACAGCATGGGGATCTCGGAAACGGTAGGAGATACGAAGTCGGTTAAATGGGGAAAGAGTTGCGCATTCGGAGGCTCATACCAACAGCCTTCGAAAATTTTCAAATTTTTTTTTAGTTTTTCAGTTATATCGAAAAAAGTGAATTTTTGGAATCTCTATTTTATTTTTTTTCTCCGTTATTATTAGAGGAACAGGAAAACTGAAAATACTTTTTCATAGCAACTTTTGATGACGTTTAACGTGGTGATACCGATTTTTTTATGCGACGTTTTGTATCCGTAGAACCATCATCAACTTTTGTTTTTTATATACGGTCCTGATAATTTTTTCACAGATTCTGAAAGGTTTTTTTATTCTGAATTCAATCATGTATTATACAAGGTGGTTTGAATGTGTTTCTAACTATTTTTAGCCATCATCAATGTTTTTTTCGAAATTCCAGAGGAAAAATGCTGTCAGTTTCACTTATTTCTGATTATTCAGTGTCAAACATTGATGGACTAGTTATTCAATACTGAAAAGTGAAAAAAAAATCCACTAAATTATTCAATGGAGCGCTTCGAATTGTTTATGAATTATATTCATATTTTAATCCGAAGGAGCTTGTCATAATTAGATTTTTCGAACTAATTATTCCTATAAGTCTATCAATCGGAACTAGTTGATGAGGTATTAATTTGTTGGCTAATTTTCCTTCAAAATAAGTGGAACTGATGGCATTATTCCTTTGGAATTTCGAAAAAAACATTGATGATGGCTAAAAATAGTTCGAAACACATTCAAACCACCTTGTATAATACATGGTTGAATTCAGAATAAAAAAACCTTTCAGAATCTGTGAAAAAAATTATCAGGGCCGTATTTAAAAAACAAAAGTTGATGATGATTCTACGGATACGAAACGTCTCATAAAAAAATCGGTATCACCACGTTAAACGTCATCAAAAGTTGCTATGAAAAAGTATTTTCAGTTTTCCTGTATCTCTAATAATAACGGAGAAAAAAAATAAAATAGAGATTCCAAAAATTCACTTTTTTCGATATAACTGAAAAACTAAAAAAAATTTTGAAAATTTTCGAAGGCTGTTGGTATGAGCCTCCGAATGCGCAACTTTTTCCCCATTTAACCGACTTCGTATCTCCTACCGTTTCCGAGATCCCCATGCTGTGCAACCTCATCTTGGACAGACTGTATAACCTCCAGAAATTTAAGAAGAACACCAATTCCTACCTTATTTTTCTTGGTTCTCACGATGTTCTCTGAACATTACAGGATATCTTTTTGTGGGAACCAGAACATAAAAAAAATACCTTGGCACACTTGACAAAAGTAAACAAACAAGTTACTATCTAGTGTTTTCCTTTTCCTCAATTTGAGTTTCTATTTTCAATCCAGTCGCAGTCGGTGTCAAAACTTTTGGAAATGTCACACGCTGATCTATTATTATTATTATTATTATTATTATTATTATTATTATCATTCTATTTGAAAATTCAAAGTCGGAGCCATTTTCGGTGAAACCGGAAGTGATCAGAAAGTGAAAAATGTACATTTTTTCCCTAAAATCACTACACAATAGTTACCATACTGGCATACTCGAATCTTTAATCATCAAAAATGTGGTTTAAATGTTTGTCCAAATAATTGTCGTTACGATAAAAATAAACTATTTCTCGATCAAAACAATTTCGATCGGATACTCGGAAAACAAGGTGGAGGGGATAGTCCCAACCGTCGCTACACCTACTCATCCTCTCGTAAAAGCCGGATTAGTAAGTGACTCGGCTCGCCTAGTTGAGAAAAAATGATGAATGTGATTCAGGTGGAGTCATTTATGATTGATCAGGAGTTCGAGGACGATCCGCAGGTGGAGGCTGCCAAATTCCTGCTCAATCCCGACGAGGATAGGGCCGTGGATCCAGAAACGCAGGCCAGGCTCGAGCAGCTGCTCCAAGCGGCCGGTGAGTACGCCCGATCTGCACCATATCGATTTTATTTTCGAAAATAGTAGATTGTTTTATTAGGATCAAAAGTTACACTTTGTTTGACAAGGGAATTTTTGCATTTGGAAGGGAGAATAACGTAGTCTTCAGTAGATGAAACGTAATTTTTTCTGTGTTACCAGTGAAATAATGAAGTTTTACTTCGTCATTAGGATGTCTGGTGTCTGACCTCGAAATGGTTTTGTAATTTCTCGGGTCGATTTTGGTTCCAGAAGTATGAAATTTATATTTATTCTTGACGATGGATATACAAGGTGCGATAAAAAATATGTCCAGATTGTCGCGGGATGAAGAAGAATATGTTTAAACGTGATGAAAATCGCTATGTTCCGAAAAAGAAATACAGGGTGTCAATTTGAAAACTTCCCACCCTTAATATCTCCCTCCAAGTCGATAATATGGAAAAACGAAAAGACAGGTCGATTTTATTTTCGAGGGGGACATGGTTCTAAAATATTTTCAGCCCCGCGGCGTTGCCGCTTCTAACGAAAAGAAGCAACAACTTTGTTATTTCAAATGGAACACCCTGTATTTTATTGCATTTTTAGATTCTCACTGAAAAGCTGATTTCATCAATGTATCACACTTGGGGTCTAGCAGGAATGATTACAGAGATATAGGGTGTTCAAAATCGAGATTTTACAACTTTAGGATTTTTTTGTGTCGAAACTATTCATTATTGGTCAAAACGGCTTTTATGTCCCTATCTCAACTTTTGATTTACTATCTACTGATATTTATTTGAAACAAATACAGGGTGGTTCAAGATTCAGACTTTTGATCACCCTGTATTTGTTTCAAATAAATGTCAGTAGATAGAAAATCAAAAGTTGAGATAGGGACATAAAAGCCGTTTTGACCAATAATGAATAGTTTCGACTCAAAAAAATCCTAAAGTTGTAAAATCTCGATTTTGAACACCCTATATCTCTGTAATCATTCCTGCTAGACCCCAAGTGTGATACATTGATGAAATCAGGTTTTCAGGGAGAATCTAAAAATGCAATAAAATACAGGGTGTTCCATTTGAAATAACAAAGTTGTTGCTTCTTTTCGTTAGAAGCGGCAACGCCGCGGGGCTGAAAATATTTTAGAACCATGTCCCCCTCGAAAATAAAATCGACCTGTCTTTTCGTTTTTCCATATTATCGACTTGGAGGGAGATATTAAGGGTGGGAAGTTTTCAAATTGACACCCTGTATAGTGTCGGTCATTGTCGAAAATTGTGGAATATACAGTAACGTTTCATGAGGCTTATACGAGGAAATATGAAAGAGACTGCAGAATTGCCATGGATTCGATAAAATGTTTTCCATACTAATAAAGAGAAATACAGTCAGTCCTGTTGTCAGTCAATGTTGACCAGTTTACGTTTGGCAAGCCGGACGAGCGTTTTCTGCGTTTTGGTTTTGTATGCTTTGCGGATTGAGGTTAGGGTTTAGGATTTCATAACAAAAACCACTAAGTTTTTCATATCAGAGAGATACCTAATTATAAATAAATAAATAATCAATAGAATAGAATAAAGAAGTTTGTCTTCTGAGAAATAAAAATGTAATTCGCCGATCAAGTCACATTAATATTGTACAGGGTTAGTTTTATTAATGTAAACCCCCCTTCATCTTCTTTGTTTTCTATCCATTTAAGAAGATTCAAAACTGATTTTTTTACGATATTCCATATTGGTTTCAATCATATTGAGAGAGTGTTGCAATATATCTTCAAATATACAGGATATATCTTCAAATATACAGGGTATACAGAAATATATTAATTTTTTTTATATGGAATGCGCTGTATATTTTGATAGATGAAGGGCCTTCTATATACATGTTTGAAATCAGGACGATTTAGGAAATTCAAATTTATCGAAATATACAGGGTGTTTCGTTTGAAAAATATATTTATTTCTGTATTCCCTGTATATTTGAATAGATATTGCATCATTGTCAAAATGAGTGAAATCTGTGCGAAATATTGTATAAAATCAGTTTTAAAATTTTTTGTATGGGTTGAAAACAAAAAAGATAGAGGGGGGTTCACATTTAAAACTAGCCCTGCACCTAGCTGTAACCAAATAACGGATAATCTATCATCTTCCTCTTTTGCATTGTTTTCCACTCAGTTTGGATCCTACCACTTACATTAGTCGATCAAAGAAATTTCTAGTAATGCGAAAATATGATTGAAATTGTTTTCCTGGAATTATGTTGTCAAAAAATTTGGAATTCTTGAAAAATCCTTCTGGCTCTCCTTTGTATATCAATTATTTTTCCTCAATCGAAGAAGAAAAACTACATTAAACTACTGTCATCGTTAAAAAATAAATTATAGAGGAAATCGCAGGACCCAAATATAACTGTCTCCATTATTGCTTCATTTCAATGAAAAATAAAATATACCAAAACTTCTGCTAAAAAAAAAATAGGTTCAACATAATATTCCCTCCTCTTGCATAGACGTTTCAAAATTGATATCAACGGACGTGATCCCCTGAATACTTCTGACGTCATCTTTTTATCCTTTGTCGGACGTTGGAGATGTTTTTGAATCGCAACTCATGACTATTATACCTAAATCAGTGCAAAGTTGAAGAAGTTCTTGAACAACAAACTTCAACAAACCTCTAGTTGTCTTTTATTTCTGTAAAGTGTACTTGTAGAATTAAAATAAAAACATATTAAACTACTCAACACTAATTTCGTCGCACACCAAAATGTCGCTTCTGTTATAATGTGAATAACTTTTTTCAGTTTAGAACAATTTGAATTTGGTTCACACTGTTCGATAGCCCAGTCCTTCAGCTATAATCTCGTACTTCATTGAAACATAAGGGTATTCACATGAAATCTCTACATGGTGTTTTCCGACACTGTGCGAAATTTCGGAATATTCAAAAGGCTCTCAAATGGCGACAAAAAAATTTTTCTCAACTTGGACAACAGAGGCATGAAGATGATCTCATTACCTCGAGATATTTCGCGAATCGACTTCCTATCTCTCTTATTTACAGAGTGATCTCAAAAAATCAACTTTTTGGTTTTGCAGCCATAACTTTTTTCCACGTCAACCGATTTTGGAAATCTTAGGCTCATTTTGAAGATAAAACTTCAGATGAAGAGATCTGAATATCAGAATTGACTCAAGATGGCTATCAAAGATCTAGAGTTTTCTTGAAAGTGACCCAAATCTGGAACGCCCTTCGAATCTTGGTTGGGAGGAGAATTGAATGAAAATCAACTTGTTCTCGGAAAAACAATTCATTCTGGATGCGTCCATATTTTTCTCGCTCTCAGTAGTCAAGAATTGTGCGTGAGAAAACACAATTGAAACATGTTCTTGCAAAAACATTAGATCATTTCTACTCTGTAATGCATGGCCCGCCGTAACCAACGTTACAAGAATCACAATGAGTGACTGACAAACCCGACCAGCTGAGACTCATCATAAATGGTGTACCAACAAGAGCAACGGATTTTGATTTTTTCAATAAAGTGATTTTTTTTAACAGTTGTCACGTACATAACATGCGATTTAAGAATATGGAGAAGTATTCAAGAAAACAACGTTTATTTATTGTGCAAACGCATTTCAAAAATGGTGAAAGTTTCACGAAAACAGTTTGCCAATTACGTAAAGTTTTCAGTCGCAATAATGCGTCGAACGAATCGACAGTAATAAACAAAAAATTCGTGTCGGAGATAAGCCCTTTGAATGGATCGGACTGTCGTGTTTAGCTGATCCGCGATTTGGAGGGAAGATAACCCTTGTCCTTGTTCCCTCATTTGTGGAATCAGTTCCAACTGGTCGGTCGTTAGATGCGGCATCGAAACTATCAAAATCTGTTTATGATTCGAAAACGACGTCTAACCTGTCTTGTCAGTCACTTACTGCGATTCTTGTAACGTTGGTTACGGGCCATGCATTACAGAGGAGAAATGGTCTGATGTTTTTGCAAGAACATGTTTCAATTGTGTTTTCTCACGCACATTCTTGAGTACTGAGAGCGAGGAAAATATGGACGCATCCAGAATGGTTTTTTTTTTCGAGAACAAGTTGATTTTCATTCAATTCGAGATTCGGAGGGCGTTCCAGATTTGGGTCTCTTTCAAGAAAACTCTAGATCTTTGATAGCCATCTTGAGTTAATTCTGATATTCCGATCTCTACATCTGAAGTTTTATCTTCAAAATAAGCCTAAGATTTCCAAAATCGGTTGACGTGGAAAAAAGTGAAGGCTGCAAAACCAAAAAGTTGATTTTTTGAGATCACTCTGTAAATAAGAGAGATAGGAAGTTGATTCGCGAAATATCTCGAGGTAATGAGATCATCTTCATGCCTTTGTTGTCGAAGTTGAGAAAAATTTTTTTTTCACCATTTGAGAGCCTTTTGAATATTCCGAAATTTTGCACAGTGTCGGAAAACACCATGTAGAGATTTTATGTGAATACCCTCATGTTTCAATGAAGTACCAGATTATAGCTGAATGACTGGGCTATCGAACAGTGTGAACCAAATTCAAATTGTTCTAAACTGAAGAAAGTTATTCACATTATATCAGGGGCGACATTTTGGTGTGCGACGAAATTAGTGTTGAGTAGTTTATTTGGATCGTTATGGAGTGGTGTCTATGCAGGTATCGGTCAATTGGCGGCGAAAGATGGCAAACATCTAGGCGATCCCGAGGTGCTGCGCAGACTCACGTCCAGCGTTTCTTGCGCATTAGACGAGGCAGCTGCCGCTCTAACGCGCATGCGTTCAGACAACCCCAAGTAAGTACCATTTTTTAACCCTCTTTCATCTCATTTTACTTGTTTTTTTTTGGGATTTTCTCTTCTCGTTTCTTTGAAATAAAAATATGAGTATTATTTCAATATACAGTGTGTCCCACTTACCATGCTCACCATGGGTATCTTTTTAACGGTGAGAGATACGAGGTCGGTTGAATGACACCAAATGTGGAGTTTGTCAAGGCCAACTATAATGTGGAAAAATATTTGGATAAAATCTATTCGTTTTTGTTTTATACGCAAAAAACAGATTTTGATCATTTTCATGTCTCTTCCGTAACTTCTTTATTTATGAAAATATTCAAATAGGAATTTCACATTCTCATGGCAGTTTTTCAAAGTGATTTCGAAAAAAATATGAAATTTATACCAACTCTTCTAGAATTTGAGATATCAGCACCAACTTTAGTTTTTCAAATGTAGGTCATAGCTCACTCTGACTTAGTTACAAATAACTTTTTTCTCTTACAGATGATATGTTGCAGTAATAGTTTTGTGTTGATAACAACGGAGTTATCGTCATTTATACAAAAACAAAAAATTATTTGGAAGCCGCCATCTTGATTTTTTTAATTTCAACACAAAAATCATGATCTCCGACCTCAAAAACCCCCATTTACCAATTTTGAATGGAATCGGACCAAATCTTGTCCGCCATCTTGGAGCAGCCATTTTTATTAATTTCAACAAAAATTCCATAATGTATTGTCACCGAAATTATGGACACCTGCCAAATTTCAAGTTAATCGGAGTTAATCGGAATTTTTGTTGAAATTAAAAAAATGGCTGCTCCAAGATGGCGGACAAGATTTGGTCCGATTCCATTCAAAATTGGTGAGTGGGGGTTTTTGAGGTCGAAGATCATGATTTTTTTGTTGAAATTTATAAATTCAAGATGGCGGCTTCAAAATAATTTTTCGTTTTTGTATAAATGACGATAACTCCGTTGTTATCAACACAAAACTATTACTGGTACATATCATTTGAAAGAGAAAAAAAAGTTATTTGTAACTTAGTCATAGTGAGCTATGACCTACATTTGAAAAACTATAGTTGGTGCTGATATCTCAAATTCTAGAAAAGTTGGTATAAATTTCATATTTTTTTCGAAATCACTTTGAAAAACTGCCATGAGAATGTGAAATTCCTATTTGAATATTTTCATGAATAAAGAAGTTACGGAGGAGACATGAAAATGATCAAAATCTTTTTTTTGGTTATAAAACAAAAACGAATAGATTTTATCAAAATATTTTTTCACATTATAGTTGGCCTTGACAAACTCCACATTTGGTGTAATTTAACCGATCTCGTATCTCTCACCGTTAAAAAGATACCCATGGTGAGCATGGTAAGTGGGACACACTGTATGTACCACCACCCCCTTTACACCCTAGAATTTTTGTCCATATAGACATGCTCAGAATTGTTGACTGACCTCATGGAAGTCGAAGAAGTCAAAAAATTACACCCAACTACTTCTAAAAAAAAAAAACAGTCTTGAAAGGGTTAAACGTATTTATTCTCAACCCTGTAGCCGTTCCACCACTTCGGCGTCCGCGTCTGTCGTCGCGACGCCTACAGCCGCAGCTCCGACCCCTCCGCAACCGCAGCTGGCGCAACAGCAGCAGCTGGCGCAGCAACAGCAGCTTGCGCAGCAGCAGCAGCAACCGGCGCCCCCCGAAAAAACATCGCTGGTGGAGGCTTGTACAGACGGCGACGTAGGCACGGTGAGGAAGCTGCTGACAGAGGGCAGATCGGTGCACGAGACGAGCGAAGAAGGGGAAAGCCTCTTGTCGCTCGCTTGTAGCGCCGGGTACTTCGAATTGGCGCAGGTACGTGAAGTGTCTTGGTTTTCTTCATTTCTTCCAGGATCTTGATCATCAACATGATGAAACATCCCGTATCTAGGTTATAAGATGTTGAAGACCCATTAGCCATGGGTTTTTTTTGAAATCACCTCAGTGACCTCTATCCACAGTTGAATTATTTACCATTCCCATTGATTTTTTTCTTTCCATAACTGACTATGATTCACCCAAATGTCATGCACCACCTTCTCCATTGTCACTTAGGTCCTTTTGGCGATGCACGCCAACGTGGAGGATCGCGGCATCAAAGGAGAATGCACTCCTCTGATGGAGGCTGCCTCTGCCGGTCACTTGGACATCGTGAGGCTGCTGGTCGCTCACGGAGCAGACGTCAATGCTCAATCGACATCAGGTAATATCTCAGACTGTATATCAATTCATTCATAAATCATTGAGAAGTATTCGCCGACAATCCTAAAGGATCGGCACCTTTTTTCAAAACAAATTATGTTCAACTCCATGTATGTTAATTTTGGTTTTATAACAATTTGTATATTTTCACATGTCTTTGCTTGTAGTATTTTCTAAAATACGGATGAAAGTGGGACTTTTATAAGTTCGAAACATGTCCTGTTGAATAACTACATCATTATTAAAGTTGTGGAGATAACTTAGAGCTTACCTTCCTCCTTTTAATCCTAAAAGACCAACACTGATGAATGAAATCGTGAATGGTGGGGATATTTCTGCGGAATAATTGCCAGAGAATTGATATTCTTCATAGATATATTTTATAAATCTAATAAATCGGAATGTCCCGTATGTACCGGGTGAACAACTATGAACGGCTGTCATCATGTCATCAATCCTTTTTCCAACTTAGATCGTCAATATCTTCCGTTAGCGAAAAGCTATCATGTTGCAGTTTTCGTTGTTCTGTTGAGATTCAGTTTCTCTATTTGATCGTGAAATAATATGCATACATTACATTCTCAATTCAGGCTATCTATTGTTACTCCAGATCACGCCGTTTGCCGTTCTTAGTTGTTCACCTGGTACATCGATAAATTAGCTCTCACCTGTTGTAACATGATAATTCGTCATTTTGTAACGTCTTTGTCAGCTTTTTTGATATTTTCAATATGAACACGCTTTTTATCAACAAAAGATAGTCCTCAAACAAGACCGTCACTGGATCAAAATAAGTATTCAAAAAATAGTCTGCTTTAAATTTATGATATTGAATGAGTTTCTGAAACACCGAAAACTGATCACACAACAGACGGAAAACCATCAATAACAAGAAAAACGACAAATGACATTTCTTACTACGATTATTGCTCGTCTACTACAAAACTTTGCGGTGCCGCCACGTTCATCTTTAAATAATTCATATTTGTTATATTTTGTGATGTACCTTACAATACTTGGTAAGTTTATTATTATTAGTAGTGAATTTCTCACAAATTAATCGAAGTGGATGTATTATTATGTTTTGAAGGTTATTAAGTTTTTTCTCATAAACTATTTATGCCGAGTTGAATGAGTTGTTTTATCCGAAAAATCTTCTAGAGATCGATTTGGCAGCGGTTCTACAGAGTTGTTTAGAATGTGATCTCTTTTTGGCAGAAGATGTGAGCAAAATAAGGTTTTTTTTTATCGCTTGGAGCGCACGAAAGGGAATCCCTATAATGTTCAAAGAACATCGTGCGTTCCTAGGGAGGATAGGGACAGGAGGTTGGTATTGGAATTTTTTTTGAACTTTTGGAGATTATATGTTGTTGAGAATACTTCCACAGGCAATGAATTCCAGAGCCTAGCCGTTCTATGGATGAAGGAGTCTTGATAAAGTGCTGTTCGACATCTTTCGAGGTTGACAACGAAAGGATGTGCTGACTGGGCTTGTCTAGTTCGTCTGATTGGTATTGCTAGTGAAGGGATGATAGCAGAGATTTCCGAAGAACATTTCCCGTGGAAGTATCGATAGAAAAGTGAAAGGTCGCCGACCTTTCTACGGTGTTCCAATGATGTCAAAGAGTGAGTGAGTGTGGCGTCACCCACCAGGCGAATGGCTCTTCTCTGGATGGAATCTAAGAGCATCAGCGTATGTTTTGGTGCTGAACCCCATATGTGGGAACAGTATTCTAGAACAGGCCGTATCTGCGCTTTGTAGATCATGAGGAGCTATTGAGGTGTAAAGTAGCTTTTCGCACGGAACAAGAATCCGAGTTTTTGTGAAGCAGCTTTTGCGATGGATCTGACATGATTATCCCATGAAAGAGTGTTGCTGATGGAAATGCCGAGCATAGATATGGTGGGCTTGGTGGGGATGGTGGAGCCAGACATCACAATATCGGGCATACTGAGTTCCGCCTTTCTAGAGAAAATGCAGGCTTGAGTTTTGGTGGCGTTGAATTCAACTAGGTTGTTTGTTCCCCAGGCTGTGATTTCAGCAAGATCTTCATTGACAGCATTGACCTGCCTGCGCCGTGAGTTCTTAGTTTCCTGGGAAGAAATGGGAATTCTGGAAGAGAACGCAGTATGGAGGGTACTATCATCTGCAAAGCTGTGGATGGGGCAAGTTGTTACTCCCAACAGATCATTGATATGAAGCAGGAATAATGTTGGTGCCAAAATTGATCCTTGTGGAACGCCGGAATTGATGCCAATGGTATCAGACGATACACCGTCCATCACCACGTGAAGCGATCTGCCTGAAAGAAAACTCGATAAGAGATGGCATAGCTGAGGTGGTAAGCCGTATGATGGTAGTTTGTGGAGGAGTCCTTCGTGCCAAACACGGTCGAATGCTTTCGATATGTCCAACGCGACAGCTAGAGATTCCCCGTGTTTTTCTATTGAAGATTGCCATAAATGGGTGACGTAGGCAAGATTGTTCAGCCTTATTAGCTGTTCTTTCATTTTAGCTCATCTGGCACCACAATGGTCATTGTTTGTCACTATTGATTTCACACAAAATTGCTTCTAAGACGATCATTGATGAAAAATCAATTTTCCATTTTGTGAAGATTTTTTTTTTCAAAAACTAAGTTTCTTCGCTTATTTTTAGGCAACACCCCGTTGATGTACGGATGCGCCGGCGGCCATACGGACGTCGTGAAATTCCTTTTGGAAAATGGCGCCAACGTCGAAGATCACAACGAGAACGGCCACACGCCGCTCATGGAGGCGGCCAGCGCCGGTCACGTCGGCCTCGCCAAGATCCTTTTGTCGCACGGCGCCGGCATCAACACCCACTCCAACGAATTCAAGGTCAGAATCTACCTTTCAAATATGCTCGTTCTGTCCTTCCTCTTATTTCTTTAGTCTTTTGTTCTGTTGTCCTTCCTCGTTTTTCCTTAATCTTTTGTTCTTTTGTCCTTCCTCTTATTTCTTTAATCTTCTGTTCTTTCGTCCTTCCTCGTTTTTCCTTAATCTTTTGTTATTTTGTCCTTCCTCTTTTTCCCTCAATCTTTTGTTAATTCGTCCTTCCTCTTATTTCTTTAATCTCTTGTTCTGTTCTCTTTCCTCGTTTTTCCTTAATCTTTTGTTCTTCCTCTGTTTCCCTTAATCTTTTGTTATTTCGTCCTTTCTCGTTTTTTCTTAATCTTTTGTTCTTTTGTTCTTCCTCTGTTTCCCTTAATCTGCTGTTATTTCGTCCTTCCTCTTATTTCTTCAATCTTTCGTTCTGCTGTCCTTTCTCGTTTTACCTTAATCTTTTGTTCTTTTGTCCTTCCTCTTTTCCCTCAATCTTTTGTTAATTCGTCCTTCCTCTCATTTCTTTGATCTTTTGTTCTGTTATTCTGTTGTCCTTTCTCGTTTTTCCTTAATCTTTTGTTCTTTTGTCCTTCCTCTTATTTCTTTAATCTTCTGTTCTTTCGTCCTTCCTCGTTTTTCCTCAATCTTTTGTTAATTCGTCCTTCCTCTCATTTCTTTAATCTTTTGTTCTGTTATTCTGTTGTCCTTTGTCGTTTTTCCTTAATCTTGTGTTCTCTTTTCTTTGTCGTTTTTTCCTTAATGATTCGTGCGCCGGCATTAACACCCACTACAACGAATTCAAGGTCAGAATCTACTTTTTGATTATGCTCTTTTTGTCCTTCCTCTTTTTTCTCTAATCTTTTGTTTTGTTGTCCTTCCTCGTTTTTCCTTAATCTTTTGTTCTTTTGTCCTTCCTCTTATTTCTTTAATCTTCTGTTCTTTCGTCCTTCCTCGTTTTTCCTTAATCTTTTGTTATTTTGTCCTTCCTCTTTTTCCCTCAATCTTTTGTTAATTCGTCCTTCCTCTTATTTCTTTAATCTCTTGTTCTGTTCTCTTTCCTCGTTTTTCCTTAATCTTTTGTTCTTCCTCTGTTTCCCTTAATCTTTTGTTATTTCGTCCTTCCTCGTTTTTTCTTAATCTTTTGTTCTTTTGTTCTTCCTCTGTTTCCCTTAATCTTCTGTTATTTCGTCCTTCCTCTTATTTCTTCAATCTTTCGTTCTGCTGTCCTTCCTCGTTTTACCTTAATCTTTTGTTCTTTTGTCCTTCCTCTTTTCCCTCAATCTTTTGTTAATTCGTCCTTCCTCTCATTTCTCTAATCTTTTGTTCTGTTATTCTGTTGTCCTTTCTCGTTTTTCCTTAATCTTTTGTTCTTTTGTCCTTCCTCTTATTTCTTTAATCTTCTGTTCTTTCGTCCTTCCTCGTTTTTCCTTAATCTTTTGTTATTTTGTCCTTCCTCTTTTTCCCTCAATCTTTTGTTAATTCGTCTCCTCTTATTTCTTTAATCTCTTGTTCTGTTCTCTTTTTTCGTTTTTCCTTAATCTGTTGTTCTTCCTCTGTTTCCCTTAATCTTTTGTTATTCCGTCCTTCCTCGTTTTTTCTTAATCTTTTGTTCTTTTGTCCTTCCTCTTATTTCTTTAATCTTCTGTTCTTTCGTCCTTTCTCGTTTTTCCTTAATCTTTTGTTCTTCCTCTGTTTCCCTTAATCTTTTGTTATTCCGTCCTTCCTCGTTTTTTCTTAATCTTTTGTTCTTTTGTCCTTCCTCTTATTTCTTTAATCTTCTGTTCTTTCGTCCTTTCTCGTTTTTCCTTAATCTTTTGTTCTTCCTCTGTTTCCCTTAATCTTTTGTTATCCCGTCCTTCCTCGTTTTTTCTTAATCTTTTGTTCTTTTGTCCTTCCTCTTATTTCTTTAATCTTCTGTTCTTTCGTCCTTCCTCGTTTTTCCTTAATCATTTGTTATTTTGTCCTTCCTCTTTTTCCCTCAATCTTTTGTTAACTCGTCCTTCCTCTCATTTCTTTAATCTTTTGTTCTGTTATTCTGCTGTCCTTCCTCGTTTTACCTTAATCTTTTGTTCTTTTGTCCTTCCTCGTTTTACCTTAATCTTTTGTTCTTTTGTCCTTCCTCTTATTTTTTTAATCTTCTGTTCTTTCGTCCTTCCTCGTTTTACCCTAATCTTTTGTTCTTTAGTCCTTCCTCTTTTCCCTCAATCTTTTGTTAACTCGTCCTTCCTCTCATTTCTTTAATCTTTTGTTCTGTTATTCTGCTGTCCTTCCTCGTTTTACCTTAATCTTTTGTTCTTTTGTCCTTCCTCGTTTTACCTTAATCTTTTGTTCTTTTGTCCTTCCTCTTATTTCTTTAATCTTCTGTTCTTTCGTCCTTCCTCGTTTTTCCTTAATCTTTTGTTATTTTGTCCTTCCTCTTTTTCCCTCAATCTTTTGTTAACTCGTCCTTCCTCTTATTTCTTTAATCTCTTGTTCTGTTCTCTTTCCTCGTTTTTCCTTAATCTTTTGTTCTTCCTCTGTTTCCCTTAATCTTTTGTTATTTCGTCCTTCCTCGTTTTTTCTTAATCTTTTGTTCTTTTGTTCTTCCTCTGTTTCCCTTAATCTTCTGTTATTTCGTCCTTCCTCTCATTTCTTTAATCTTTCGTTCTGCTGTCCTTCCTCTTATTTCTCTAATCTATTGTTTTGTTGTCCTTCCTCGTTTTTCCTTAATCTTTTGTTCTTTTGTCCTTCCTCTTATTTCTTTAATCTTTCGTCCTTCCTCGTTTTTCCTTAATCTTTTGTTAATTCGTCCTTCCTCTTATTTCTTTAATCTTTTGTTCTGTTCTCTTTCCTCGTTTTTCCTTAATCTTTTGTTCTTCCTCTGTTTCTCTCAATCTTTTGTTATTTCGTCCTTTCTCGTTTTTTCTTAATCTTTTGTTCTTTTGTTCTTCCTCTGTTTCCCTTAATCTTCTGTTATTTCGTCCTTCCTCTTATTTCTTTAATCTTTCGTTCTGTTCTCCTTCCTCGTTTTTCCTTAATCTTTTGTTCTTTTGTCCTTCCTCTTTTTCCCTTAATCTTTTGTTAATTCGTCCTTCCTCTTATTTCTTTAATCTTTTGTTCTGTTCTCCTTCCTCGTTTTTCCTTAATCTTTTGTTCTTCCTCTGTTTCTCTCAATCTTTTGTTATTCCGTCTTTCCTCGTTTTTTCTTAATCTTTTGTTTTTTTGTTCTTCCTCTGTTTTCGAACTTTTTTTTTATTGGATAAATTTCCTTACTAATTCAAATATCTTCCATCAGTTATTTCTCTGGAAAAACTGACATTAGTCCGATCTCGCAATTTTTTCATGTCAGTTTTTCTCGTAAAATTACTGATTGGCAAATGTTTCTCGTTACCAAGAGAAATTTATCCGATAAAAAAAGCTCTTGTGTTTTTACTGTTGATAAAAAAGGATGCACCTTTTGTATCGACGTCAAAATGGCCACGTCATCGCCAAAATGGCGATTCTGCGAAGGAGAAAGTCTATTTCTTTCCCGTTGTTCTATCGCCTGTCGAAATCGTTGACGTTCAATCTGGACCACCCTGTATATTTTTCTTCAAATTGTGAAGGAGTCGGCGTTGACTTTGGCCTGCTACAAGGGCCACCTCGACATGGTGCGTTTCCTTTTGGAGGCGGGAGCCGACCAGGAGCACAAGACCGATGAGATGCACACTGCCCTTATGGAAGCGTCCATGGACGGACACGTCGAGGTGAGAAAATCGCCCATTATCATCCGTGACAATTTCCATGATTTTTGGTCAAATGTGTTCTTTGAATCGGGTTCCCGTATTTTGACATGTTTGCCCAATGTGTGCTCGATTAACGTTTTATTATGCACTCATTTCATAAGATTTTTTCGGTGATGGTAAATGTGTTCTTTGAATCGGGTTCACGTATGTTGACATGTTTGCCCAATATGTGCTCGATTAACGTTTTATTATGCACTCATTTAGGCACATAAGATTTTTGCGATGATGGTAAATGTGTTCTTTCAATCGGGTTCCTGTATTCTGATATGTTTGTCCAATATGCCTCCAATGAACTTTGAAATGTGTTATCATACATCAATTATAGCACATTCGATTTTTTTAGTTATGGAAATGAGCTGTTGTGCTATTTATGGTGAAATGTGTTCTTTGAATCGGGTTCCTGTAATCTTACATGTTTTTCCAATATGCCTTTGATGACGACATTGATCATGGCAAATAAACAGCCTGTTCTACTTTTTTGTTTCTTCCTTTCTGCTCTTTCTGGGAAAATGTGTTCCGTGAATCGTGTTCGTGTATTCTGACATGTTTGCCCAATATGTCCTCAACTAATTGAAGCTCATTTGATTGATTATTCAATGAGGGAAACAAGTTGTTCTGCTCTTCTTGAAGAAATATGTTCTTTAAATCGGTGTCCTGTATTTCGTCATGTTTGTTCAATATATCTTCAATGCACATAATTATTTTAATAAGGAAAACAAGTTGGGTACCTGTATTCTGACATGTTTGTGAAATATGCCTTCAATGCACGTTCAAATGTTTTATCATACATTATTTATAGCATATGCGATTGTTTCAAGTGATGTAAATGAGCTTTTGTGCTCTTTATGGTGAAATGTGTTCTTTGAATCGGGCTCCTGTAATCTTACAAGTTTTTCCAATATGCCTTTGATGACGACATTGATCATGGCAAATAAACAGCCTGTTCTACTTTTTTGTTTCTTCCTTCCTGCTCTTTCTGGGAAAATGTGTTCCGTGAATCGTGTTCGTGTATTGTGACATGTTTGCCCAATATGTCCTCAACTAATTGAAGCTCATTTGATTAGGGAAACAAGTTGTTCTGCTCTTCTTGAAGAAATATGTTCTTTAAATCGGTGTCCTGTATTTCGTCATGTTTGTTCAATATATCTTCAATGCACATAATTATTTTAATAAGGAAAACAAGTTGGGTCCTTGTATTCTGACATGTTTGTGAAATATGCCTTCAATGCACGTTCAAATGTTTTATCATACATTATTTATAGCACATGCGATTGTTTCAAGTGATGTAAATGAGCTGTTGTGCTCTTTATGGTGAAATGTGTTCTTTGAATCGGGTTCCTGTAATCTTACATGTTTTTCCAATATGCCTTTGATGACGACATTGATCATGGCAAATAAACAGCCTGTTCTACTTTTTTGTTTCTTCCTTTCTGCTCTTGCTGGGAAAATGTGTTCCGTGAATCGTGTTCGTGTATTCTGACATGTTTGCCCAATGTGTCCTCAACTAATTGAAGCTCATTTGACTGATTATTCAATGAGGGAAACAAGTTGTTCTGCTCTTCTTGAAGAAATATGTTCTTTAAATCGGTTTCCTGTATTTCGTCATGTTTGATCAATATATCTTCAATGCACATAATAATTATTTTAATACAGAAAACAAGTTGGGTCCTTGTATTCTGACATGTTTGTGAAATATGCCTTCAATGCACATTCAAATGTTTTATCATACATTATTTATAGCACATGCGATTGTTTCAAGTGATGTAAATGAGCTTTTGTGCTCTTGATGGTGAAATGTGCTCTTTGAATCGGGTTCCTGTAATCTGACATGTTTTTCCAATATGCCTTTGATGACGACATTAATCATGGCAAATGAACAGCCTGTTCTACTTTTTTGTTTCTTCCTTTATGTGATATCATACTCATACACTAATTAAAGCACGTTAGGTCGTTTGGATTAGAAAAACAGGCTATTCTGCTCTTTCCAGGAAAATATGTTCCTTGAATCGTGTTCCTCTTTTCTGACATGTTTGCCCAATGTGTCTCCAACTAATTATAGCCCATTCGATTATTTCAATGAGGGAAACGAACTTTTTTGTTCATTTTGAAGAAAAAATCCTGTCTGTCTCAGGTGGCAGCTGTTGATCTCGCCATGTTGCTTATCGAACGTGGGGCTAACATCGAAGAAGTTAACGACGAAATCTACATTTTCTTTTGAAGAAAGTGCCTGTTGTTTTTCTAATCATAACACATTTGGTCTTCTCCACGAGAAAAACAGGCTATTCTGCTCCTTCTTGGAAAATATGTTCCTTGAATCGTGTTCCTTTATTCTGACATGTTTGCCCAATATGTCTTCAAGTGATTCTAGCTCATTCGATTATTTTAATGAGGAAAACGAACTCTTCTGTTGATTTTGAAGAAAAAATCCTGTCTGTCTCAGGTGGCTCGTCTCCTACTGGATTCGGGCGCGCAAGTCAACATGCCCACCGACAGTTTCGAGTCCCCTCTAACATTGGCGGCGTGCGGCGGCCATGTCGATCTCGCCATGTTGCTTATCGAACGTGGGACCAACATCGAAGGAGTCAACGACGAAATCTATATTTTCTTTTGAAGAAAGTGCCTGTTGTTTTTTTAATCATAACACATTTGGTCTTTTCCACGAGAAAAACAGGCTATTCTGCTCCTTCTTGGAAAATATGTTCCTTGAGTCGTGTTCCTGTTTTCTGACATGTTTGCCCAATATGTCTCGAACTAATTTTAGCTCATTCGATTATTTTGATGAGGAAAACGAACTCTTCTGTTGATTTTGAAGAAAAAAATCCTGTCTGTCTCAGGTGGCTCGTCTCCTACTGGATTCGGGCGCGCAAGTCAACATGCCCACCGACAGTTTCGAGTCCCCTCTGACTTTGGCGGCGTGCGGCGGCCATGTTGATCTCGCCATGTTGCTTATCGAACGTGGGGCTAACATCGAAGAAGTTAACGACGAAATCTACATTCTCTTTTGAAGAAAGTGCCTGTTGTTTTTCTAATCATAACACATTTGGTCTTTTCCACGAGAAAAGCAGGCTTTTCTGCTCCTTTTTGGAATATATGTTCCTTGAATCGTGTTCATGTTTTCTGACATGTTTGCCCAATATGTCTCGAACTAATTATAGCTCATTCGGTTATTTCAATGAGGAAAACGAACTTTTTTGTTCATTTTGAAGAAAAAATCCTGTCTGTCTCAGGTGGCTCGTCTCCTATTGGATTCGGGCGCGCAAGTCAACATGCCCACCGACAGTTTCGAGTCCCCTCTGACTTTGGCGGCGTGCGGCGGCCATGTTGATCTCGCCATGTTGCTTATCGAACGTGGGGCTAACATCGAAGAAGTTAACGACGAAATCTACATTCTCTTTTGAAGAAAGGGCCTGTTGTTTTTCTTATCATAACACATTTGGTCTTTTTCACGAGAAAAGCAGGCTTTTCTGCTCCTCTTTGGAATATATGTTCCTTGAATCGTGTTCATGTTTTCTGACATGTTTGCCCAATATGTCTCGAACTAATTATAGCTCATTCGGTTATTTCAATGAGGAAAACGAACTTTTTGTGTTCATTTTGAAGAAAAAAATCCTGTCTGTCTCAGGTGGCTCGTCTCCTACTGGATTCGGGCGCGCAAGTTAACATGCCCACCGACAGTTTCGAGTCCCCTCTGACTTTGGCGGCGTGCGGCGGCCATGTTGATCTCGCCATGTTGCTTATCGAGCGTGGGGCTAACATCGAAGAGGTCAACGACGAGGGGTACACGCCCTTGATGGAGGCGGCACGCGAGGGTCACGAAGAGATGGTGCATTTGCTGCTCGGCCAAGGTGAGTGGGGTGAGTGCGTTCAATTTTTCCGTAAATATATTTTTAATTGTGATATTTTGATGTATTGTTGGTTAGCTTTCAGGTTTTTCGTTGATTGTGATGCACTGCTACTCCTTTTATAAAAAATATGTGTACGCCTCTGGAGTCGCAATTCCTTATTTCAATGGTGTAGAAGGAATGGGTTTTTTTCTGTGAAAAATGGATTCCATCATTTCGAAGTACTAACTAAAACTACTTCACTGTCACAAACCGTTTTTTCCTCAGAGGTGGACTAATCCAATGCAGCCATATAAGATTCGACTTACGTATCCATTCTTTATTTCTGTAAATCAAGTGCATAACTATTTCTGATTGTCATTTTAATCAAATAATAGAATGAATTTTTTGGCAATGTTGAATATTCATTGCAAACAATAGAGAACAGAACACACAACTGATTGATCAGATAATCTGAGGATCATCTTCAAATATTTGCAGTATTTGCTTGAATTTAGTACATACATATGTCTCCAACTAATTATAGCTAATTCAATTATTTTAATAAGGAAAACAAAATTTCGGACTGCTTCTAATTTTTTTTGCGACTCATTGTGTTATCATGCAACACCCCATTTCAAATATCGGTCCAATTCTGGAAATACCCTGTATCAGTATTTAATATTCAATGACAAAATATGTTGATTTCAAAAGACTCCATAAATTAATAAATAAATGTGAAAGACGCCTGGTATATAATATGATAAGATGGTTGAACTATGTTAAAACATGCTATTCTGCTCCTTCTTGGAAAATATGTTCCTTGAATCGTGTTCCTGTATTGTGACATGTTTGCCCAATATGTCTTCAACTAATTATAGCTATATGAAGAGTTGTTGTAAAAACATGCTATTCTGATCTTTTTTGGGAAATATGTTCCTTGAATCGTGTTCCTGTATTGTGACATGTTTGTCCAATATGTCTTCAACTAATTATAGCTAATTTGATTATTTTAATAAGGGACACAAAATTTTGGACTGCTTCAAATTTTTTTGCGACTTATTGTGTTATTATGACTCATACAACACCCCATTTCAAGGATCACTCCAATTCTGGAAATACCCTGTATAAGTATTTAATATTCAATGATAAAATATGTAGATTTCACAAGACTCAATAAATTAATGAATAAATGTGAAAGACGCCTGGTATATAATATGATAAGATGGTTAAACTATGAAGAGTTGTTGTAAAAACATGCTATTCTGCTCTTTCTTGGAAAATATGTTCCTTGAATCGTGTTCCTGTATTGTGACATGTTTGCCCAATATGTCTTCAACTAATTATAGCTAATTCGATTATTTCAATGAGGAAAACAAAATTTCGGACTGCTTCTAATTTTTTTTGCGACTTATTGTGTCATTATGACTCATACAACAACACATTTCAAAGATCGTTCCAATTCTGGAAATACTCTGTATAGTAAGTATTTAATATTCAATGACAAAATATGTAGATTTCACAAGACTCAATAAATTAATGAATAAATGTGAAAGACGCCTGGTATATAATACGATAAGAGAGTTGAACTATGAAGAGTTGTTTTAAAAACATGCTGTACTGCTCTTTCTTGGAAAATATGTTCCTTGAATCGTGTTCCTGTATTGTGACATGTTTGCCCAATATGTCTTCAACTAATTATAGCTAATTCGATTATTTCAATAAGGAAAACACCATTTTGGACAACAACACACCCCATTTCAAAGATCGCTCCAATTCTGGAAATACCCTGTATAAATATTTAATATTCAATGACAAAATATTTAGATTTCACAAGACTCAATAAATTAATGAATAAATGTGAAAGACTTGTTTTAAAAACATGCTATTCTGCTCTTTCTTGGAAAATATGTTCCCTGAATCGTGTTCATGTATTGTGACATGTTTGCCCAATATGTCTTCAACTAATTATCGCTAATTCGATTATTTTAATAAGGAAAACAAACTTTTGGACTGCTTTTTTTTGCGACTTATTGTGTCATTATGACTCATACAAAACCCCATTTCAAGAATCACTCCAATTCTGGAAATACCCTGCATAAATATTCAATATTCAATGACAAAATATGTAGATGTCACAAGACACAATAAATTGATGAATAAATATGAAAGACGCTTGGTATATGATATGATAAGATGGTTGAACTATATGAAGAGTTGTTGTAAAAACATGCTATTCTGCTATTTCTTGGAAAATATGTTCCCTGAATCGTGTTCATGTTTTGTGACATGTTTGCCCAATATGTCCTCAACTAATTATCGCTAATTCGATTATTTTAATAAGGAAAACAAACTCTTGGACTGCTTATATTTTTTTGCGACTTATTGTGGCATTATGACTCATACAAAACCCCATTTCAAGGATCGCTTCAATTCTGGAAATACTCTGTATAGTAAGTATTTAATATTCAATGATAAAATATGTAGATTTCACAAGACTCAATAAATTAATGAATAAATGTGAAAGACGCCTGGTATATAATATGTTAAGATAGTTGAACTATGAAGAGTTGTATAACGGCTTACTCATCACAAATGCGAAGAAGGGTGAGATATAGGCATTATTAGTCAGTCTCTGCCAGATCACGACGGTGACACGTGTTGTTTTGTATAATTTATATTGTGTTGTGTATCTTTAATAATATTTCAATAGTGTGAAAGTGTTCGTCCAGTGAAATTTCTTCACATTCAAAAGTGATTATTTAGGGCCAGATGGAACCATTGTCTTCTGTGAGTAAATACATTCATCATTGGTCATATTATTCATTTTATTTTATTTATTTATCAAATATATCTTCCAGTCACAACAAGTTTTGGTATGAGGAAGAACATAAATATAAAATAAAAAGTAATAAATATCTATGAACTACTACACAAACTTTGAACATGAATAATAAATCATAATAAATCAGGATATCACATAAGGTTATTACTTAATATAAATTTGGCAGTGTTGAAATATTTGGTTATGCTTTGTTGATGAATATATCAACAAATATCACTATTTGTGCAAATCGTTATATCATGTCATGACAAATAATTCAAATAACGAGCATCAAATACTATTTATTCATGGAATGATCAATATAAAATAAGTATGGACTTGAATTTGACTGTGAAAATTTCCATTTGAAGATTTTCTATTCCAGGCACCTTTTAAAAAATCTTATGCTCATGGACTTTGACCTAATCACAAAACAAAACTCTGCACCCAGAAAATTTCGATAAACGATACAGCCTCTTGAAAAAAAAACACATTTCATATGTTTGTCTCCCTCAATTCCGTTTTTTTTTTTTAGTTGATAGACTCTTCGAAAAAATTATGGGTACGCCTATGCGATTACGATGATTATTTTCATCTTTTTCGAATGAAACCTAATATTATTTTATGTTAATTTGCCAAATTGATTGCCGCCCTGAAGTCATGATCCTGATTTTTGATCGATTTGTTCTCAGGTTCCCTAAAAAATACTTGAGTACAGGGTGATTTATATTTTACTCAATACCTATCCACGTTCAAATGGACACTCTGTACTTCATTTCCCTGATCATAGAGCTCTTTCTTCTGATATGTGGCGTTCAATACCTGTCTTAGATCTATACCAAAACGTCTATATTTTTTAAAAACTGACAAAAGATAACCTAATTGAAGTATACAGGGTGATCCACGGTGGATGGCATATTAGAAGTATCTGGAGAACGAATAGACAGAACATTCTGAAAATTGTGTTTCTTCGATAATTGAACATTCTCTATCCGTCTAAAATATTTTCATCGATACAGTGTTGCCACTTCTATCAGCAACAACTAGCAACTTTGTTATTTTAAATGGAACACCCTGTATTTTATTGCATTTTTAGATTCTTTCTAAAGAGCTGATTTCATCGATGTATCACACTTGGGGTCTAGCAGGAATGATTACAGAGATATAGGGTGTTCAAAATCGTGATTTTTCAATTTTAAGTTTTTTTTTGTGTCGAAATTATTCATTATCGATCAAAACGGCTTACATGTCCCTATCTTAACTTTTGATTAACTATCCACCGACATTTGATTGGAAAAAATACAGGATGGTCCAAGATTCAGAATTTTGATCACCCTGTATCTGTTTCAAATAAATGTCAGTAGATAGTGAATCAAAAGTTAAGATAGGGACATGTAAGCCGTTTCGATCGATAATGAATAGTTTCCACACAAAAAATTCCTGAAATTGAAAAATCTCGATTTTGAACACTCTATATCTCTGTAATAATTCCTGCTAGACCCCAAGTGTGATACATTGATGAAATCAGCTCTTCGAGAAGAATCTAAATACGCAATGAAATACAGGGTGTTCTATTTGAAATAACAAAGATGATGCTACTTTTTGGTAAAAGTGGCAACGCTGCATCTCTGAAAATATTTTGAATCGTTAGATCACCAACGCTTATTAGAGTAACCAAATTTTCAGGATAATCCAATGTACCGTTTTCCGTATACGTCTAAGGTACCATCGACCGTGGGCCACCCTGTATATTTATGGAATCAGAAGAAAGCGCTCTACCATTTAGAAAAATAAAATACAGGGTTTTCCATTTAAAAGATACCAGTTCATGCAAAATTTTTAGGTTCACGATGCTTTTTTTGCATTTTCTAGTAATAGTTTCTGAATGTCCATAAAAAATACTTTGCCCATTTGAACGATTTTGTTAGACCAATATTAACTGAGTTAGCTTTTCAGTAAAATATAAACAATCACCCTGTACACTCACAATTTTTATGCCCGTTTCATCTCTAGAGTCGTGAATGAAATTAAATAGTGCGCCACTTAATGGTGAATATTTCTTGATTGATAAAATATTGACATTTTTTCCAATATATCCTTTGATTTTCATCATATTCACTCCAAATGTGTTTTTTTTACACTGAACTGGTTGAAGGAACAGTTCCAATTTTTCGTTGTTGACACTGTCAAAACTGAATGACAATACTCA